GAGTGGCAATAGGCAAGGAGTCCTATGATCAACAATCGCATATCCCGTCGACCTGCCTCCTGTCGCGCTACGAGATCCTCCGCTGCACTCTTTATTATCAGTCATCCTGCGCGGTATAGGTATGCTGCATCCGCATAATTGTCGGGCATCATACGGGACTAAGCGTAACAGCAACCAGGACACGTGTCGTTCTAGTGACAACAGCGGATTGGCGATAATTCCACACATCAACACACGGCCCATCGCAGAGGACCAGTGTGGATCAGGACGTTTTCCCTTCTCCAGACCCTTGGGCCCAAGACGACCTTCGCCTGTCTTCGAAATGGTCGACGATTTGCCAACGCTCCCAGGCTCTCTCATATGGGACAGGGGCCGATCGGAGGTGCGCCTGGTCAGCTCGCCATTCTCATCGTCCCCACCCATCGCCATCATCAGGGACATCCGCCCGTTACTGAGCAGCCCAGCACGTCTGAACGCGGTCCGCCATGCTACTGTGTGCTGTTCGCGGGCGTCAGAGCGCTTGGAGGCGGAGACGGCGATGCAGCGTTCGACGTTGGGGCAGGTGGCCGAGCCCGTGCCGCATGCCACAGGGGCGATGCTGCCGCTACACGCGGACTCCGTTGCTTCTGGATACGAAGAGGTGGGCACAACGCAGCCGGCAGGAGCCGTCGCTGCTTTGGCCGTCTTGCTGTCGCGCCTGCCTGCTCTGGAGACCCTCGAGATCCGGACCTTTGACCGGGTCGAAGATGAAGAGGATGACGAGCAAACCGCATCTCTAGCACTAGGAGACCCCGTCATCTCCCTCCTCTGCCGGGAGATGCTTTCGGCCGGCACCATGGCCTTCGCACACGTCAGGACGGCCAGGGTCGTTGTACCATACCCGGACGATGACCCCGCCGCGGAGTTCGGCTTTTACGTCAGCGCAGACACTGTGCTACCCCTGTTTTACCTCCCGCAGGTCCGCACCCTCGAGATGCACCGCGTTGAGGACGGTGGACGGTTGGTTTCATGGCCCGCCGGGGCAGGCCCCGTCTCCGCGACGCAGCTTAAAGAATTGGTCATGAGCAAGGCCCAGCTGACTGAAGCAAGTCTGGACCGACTTGTGCGAGCATGCCCAGACCTGGAGGTTCTCCGCTGGGAGCATGTTATCGATGCCGAATACGCCCGGTCGTGGCTTGACTTGGACGCGCTGCGCACATCGCTCGAAACCCTGAAGCACTCGCTACAGGAGCTCTCCTTCAGCGTGATTCTCTGGACATCCACAGCTATCGACTGCGGCGAGCAAGGGCCGTGGGGTATTCGGGGCACGCTGGCGTCACTCAGGGGGTTCTCTCAGCTTAAGCGCATCACTATCTCGCTACCGGTACTACTTGGGTGGAGAACAGATAACTCGGCAAGGCTCGCCGACGTGCTCCCCGCTAGCATCGAGTGTGTTACAGTCACTAACGAAATGTTCTTCTGGTGGCACTCCCGATGGGACGACGTCAAGTGGGAGGCGGACGACCCAAGCGCCCCAAGGTGGCACACACTCGAAGCTAAAATCACAGAGTACCTGGAGGCTAGGCCGTCAAGCTTAAGTTAAGGCAGCTCAAGGTCGAGGTTTGGACAGCCGGTGAGATCACGGGCTGAAGAGTTAAGAGACAGGCTGACATCAGTCGGGGCTGCTACTAGTGTTCACGTCACTGTTGAGCTGAGGTCATAGTTACGGAGGCTAAAGGAGGTGAAAGGACGGAGGACTACAGACATATTATACAAGTCAAGAAGCCTTTACTTATGGTAAGGTGACTGGTGCCTCGGGTGGAATATCTGGTTGATAGTAGCTTAGCTGCGACTGAGATCACTACGTAGTCTCAAGAATCATCAAAGAAGCTATTAGGAGCCCAAAGACCCAAACGCATATGTAGTAGTTACCCACCAGCCTGTGTACGTCTAACATCAGCTAGAGCACCCTCATCTCACCACTGATCCCATGACTAAGAACGTCTAACGATACCTTGGACAGGGCAGGGAAGCATATGACGTTTCTCAGTGTTCATAATAGTCTGTTTCCACAACGGACGGAGAAGTGCATAGATAGGCTAATCTAACCATGTTTTCTTTGGTCTCTTTTGCTCTTTGCCTTTCTCAAGCATCTCCTCACACCTTAAAGCAGCAGCTGACACTGTCTCAGCATGCAGTATGTTCTTGCCATCTCGCCTTTTGCAAATGCATATTGCAAATGCATATAGGCCTTAAACTAACCCCCTAGGCCGTAGTAGGCAATCATATAGGAAGTGGGATGTTGCTGCCATAGCGCTGACACTATAGGTAAGGGACAACATTAAGCTACCCAACATAACATAACACAACAAATGGAGGTGGTGCCTTTGCCTATAGTTAGCAGGCTGGCGCATAACCCCTTTCCGACCATCAAGGCCAGTAGCAGTGACTGCAATTATCTACAGGCCTTGTTTCTGCTGTCGGAAAAACAGCTAAATGTATAGTGTATATAGTTGAACTAAGAAGAGCCCCACGCTCACATACAAATTACACTAGATGCCTTATTACTAGTAGGCAGGCCTAGAAGAGTACACTGACTGTTGTACCAAGGACCGTTAAAGCTAGACACGATGTTCAACAGCTATAGGTAGTCACTTATGCCTTTGACTACAGAAGCAGCAGCAGCATCCCGTCAGGGCTAAAACGTCATACCACAACACAACGCCTAGGCCGGTTGCCGCACAAATGAGCTAGGTAGTCCGAAGTTTCATCTTTAAGCCACTCTAGTTTCAGGAGCATTATAGGGGGCTAATTCTCTTGCATCCCGCCGCTAGGTTCTAAAACGGGGTGGTGAAATCAGGGCTTCACACGAGTTCAGTCGCATATGAACAATCTGCCCACTGAGGCTTCACTCATTGACTTCAAAGGGCCACGGATCAGCTGTACTCATAAAGATAGCGGCAAGTGGCGTCAAACCGTAGCCGGGTCCAGGACTCCAGCCCTCCGTGAAAGCAGCGACAACTTCAAGTTATCCATAAGCTAGCAGTGGGATACTGCGTAGTACTCCTAGGGTCGGCCTCTCGCCGGCTACTGGAAGATACGGACTATATACCTTAGGTATAGCTTATCCCAAAGAACTGAGATAGCAGGACGAGGTTGATGGACGTTTTGCAGGCACGACGGACCACCCTAGTATCTTAGCCAAGGTAGAAGTCAATATGCAGCGGGAATAAGAGGCTGCAACGCCGCGCAGCAGAGAGATATGGCCGAGGCCGCCCACTGGTATAGCTTAGCATAGTGCGTCGTGGCCCACCCACCATACGCCCTGTAAGCCGGGAGGATAAAGCAGTTTGGAACTGTCGCCATCACTACTTTATTATTTTAGGAGTCGCGTAAGCATACGTACGTTACCGTATGTTATAAAGACGAGGTCGGGGCACGGACGACCCTCGTGATGTAGCTAGTAGATCTCGTGATGCGCCTCTTCATTTACGGGGGCTTTAAGGTACTCGGGAAGCTCTGTGCTCTGGCTATTCCATCTATTATGTGTTGGACTTGTGACCTAAGAACCTCCTGCCTCCTGGCCGACCACGCCGTCTCCGAGGAACTGTGTAATCGCAAATGTTGATATATTCTCACCTTCACGTTAGTTTCCTGTTCTGATCCCTATCTCGAAGTGCCGCCGCACGAGCCCTCTATTCAAGATAGTGCCGGGGCCACTCTTCTTACAGGATATGCCCTAATGTGTTGTTACTCAGGCCAGCGTGGGCAGGTGGTGGAAAGGGAGGCACATGTATAGCTACGAGGGACTGCTGATCAATTTCCAGTATCTCCCTCCAGGAAGCGAGAGATTTTCCAAAGGCGGGAGAGATCTGTCATATGGCCTCACATCTAATCCGGCCTGCCTCAGCGAGAGTCCACTCAGCGTCCGTCATCTGACACCCATCGGGACGAATCATGATATCCCGCTACAGGGATGCTTGTGATCTGGCTATGAGATTCAAGGCTACCGTCGGTTCCGCGTGGAGCTTGCCCGCCTTGTTGGCCGACTCAGCCGGGGGGACTGCATGCCAGTCCTCAGAGCGTTCGCAAGGTGGTAACTGCAGCAGGTCAATGTATTCATTGTGAAGGTAATAAGGTAGCATCTATAAGCCTCGCCATCCGTCGCAGCCTGCACTAGGCGATTCCAAGGCTAGACCCTGGGCTAGCTTACAGATAGACCTCGGTTAGCACATTAGGCTGTGTGCTGCCGTCCGTTGGTGATTGCGATGCTAAACACCTCGTTTCCCGTCCTTGCGTCTCTTAACAAAGTGGACGAGTCCCAACCTGGCGAAAAGAAACGCAGTCCACTCCGCAGCGCGCTCCATTCTACGGCTTGATTTGAGGCCGTAATAGTCCTCTAGCGAGGTTGAGGATACGGGGTTGACGTTAGCGACGTCATCAGCACAGGCAGACCGAGACCGCTTCCCCCAGGACGAACGGTGCACAGCTTGATGAGAGATTCAATATTACATCAGCATGAAGAGGATTGGGAGGGGGCAAGTAAGAGAGGGGACACCCCGAAATAGTGCTCAAGGGTTGGGGTTCTAGTCAGGCTGGGAGCCAGCTTGCGCTCGCGTTTGTGTGTTGCGCGGGTGGGTCGGTGGGCCTTGGTCGATCCGGACATCCCGCGAGGCGGATGGTCTAACGGAATAATTACCCACCTAAATGATAACATAAAAAATTGCCGGGAGGGGACACCAAACCAGCATCGCTTTTCAGATAGGTAATGGTCAGTGAAAAAGAGGATAAGTCCAGACTCACATGGCCCGTCCTGTTACTTATATTGAGGTGCTTATAACAATAGACTCTCACTATGAAGCCCACACACTTTCTTGTATTCCACTGGTCACCCGATTGTCGCGGCCTGGGCTGTCTGCGGAGTTGAGCGCTCTTAAGTCATACATTACTAGTGCGGACAATATCAGCATCCCCGCGTCCGCTGTGCGTCCCTCAGCACTATCCACCTCACTTTGGGAGTCATGAGCCTTCCCGAGCCCAAAGACGTTGAAGAGGCGACCCAGGTCCTTCAGAGCATCATTCCTCTACTTCCCCAAAGGCCCATCAAGATCTCGCTCCTTGGCCTAGGAACCTTTCCTGGCATAGATCCAGGACGTGCCGAAATCCTCTTTGCGCACCCACGTGTCTCGACTACGACTTCGACGCGCTATGCCAAAGAATCCGGCATGTGTTCGAGGATGCTGGTATCTTCGACAAGAGAGGCTTCAGCTTATTCCTTCACGCCACCATCTTAAACGCCAGGAAGACCGCCGACGGGGGGCTCATTGACGCGACGGAGATCCTAAGGAGCTATCGGGGACACGTATGGATGGAAAATTTCCTCTCGAGGAAATCGGGATTTGCCGGATGGGTGCCAAGAAGAAGGGGGTGATGATGAGGAATATCTGCTCGCAGTTCCATCCCACTCACGACTTCGGCTGATAGATGAAATGTGAGGTGGAATTCTGATGTAAGGTAGAGCAGCCACTTGCCTGCTTTTACCCTATTAGTTCTAGATATCTAGTAGGTCCGTTCGCTAAGAGACCCCTTCAGGATCGGGGACAGTGCCACTGATTACCAGTACAGCGGCTAGTCCTCAGGTCTGAGGGTTAGTTGAACCCGAGCATGAGGTGACTTGTAGTCGGATGGGACCTCTACAGGTCTCCAGCAATTAACTTCGTGAGCATCCTCGGACCCTTTCAGCTCATCTTCCTCCGCGAATACTCGTTAAGTTTAGGACTAGTCACCTTGGCCCCTAACCACTTCGATCTAATTACACAGCCTTCAGCAGCAATGATGCCTGCGTTTATTGCATCCCACTGCACACTAACTTAGGCATTGTATCCCCAGCGAAAGCAGGCAGCATATGCGAGAATGCGAATTCGTTTCTTGGACCTCGCAATAATGCCGTGATCGTTTCCGCCAGCTTGGCTCCTCCGGAGCTAGATGGGTACTTCCTCATGAGTTTCAACAGTCCTCGGCCATCCGTTGCTAAGCGGACAGAACGATATGTCTGTCTTACAAACGGACAAGCTACAGCTACTACAGTCTAGAAAGGCCGTAACATATTTAGGTAGCTGTCTGTTCTTTAGCAACTCCATATAGAAGCTACTATAGAATCATCATGTAGCGATTTGGAGAAGTCTTGTGGTCTTGCTAGTAAAGGGCCTTTGATCTGCAGTTTTTAAACTGATAATGAGCTCATGAGGGTAGTCATTGGTCTTTAGTGTTATCCTAATCTGAAAGTTGCTTGTTCGATTCGTCAACAATACCCGTTGAGTTGTTAGCTGGGTTCTCATTCAAATCCCACACAAGTGGACAACATGGCTGCATTTAAGAGATAATAGGGTTCATTTGTGGTACTTTGAAAAGATGCAGCTTCTAATGACTCGTCCCTACTTCAGGCGTGTCTGCTGAATCTCTGCTTAAGGTAGGACGAGTAGAAGGTCTTAGAAATACCAGAAGACAGTCGTTATTTAATAACAGGTTAGGCTGGCTGGCTTCAACGACCCAGATCCTTTGCTATGCGCTATAGAAAGCAACCCTGATACGTTCTGTTCTGTGCTAGCTCTTGATGGCCGCCTGAAAATTTCTAAGGCCTCAAACCAGGAGTCGCATTGTGGGTCTGACGAGGTGCATTTGATTCTACAATAGGACCCCAACAGTAACAAAGCTGCAAGCTGCTATCCTGATGGTCTTGTGGTCAGCGTGAGTGTGCATCATGGAGACAGGTCAGCAGCCACCTAGAGATTCTCCTGTTTTATTGCTTCACTTCTGGTGAAGAAGGCCATGAGTAACCTCATAACCACAGGAGATATCATGATATCTATAATAGTATGCCCAGGCCTCTTATCACTGTTCGCCCAGGCTCTCAACCCTGCTGGTACGGTAGAGTGATAGCTAACAGTATATATGCGGAGAGTGCCAGAGCTTACAGACGTACTCAAGCAACTTCCACCTCTAACGATATTACAGTCTGCTTCCTAACCTACTAGGTGAATATGGCAGTATTGTGATGATGAAAATTGGGGCGTGGGAAGGAAGTGATACACAGTGTCTAGCAAGACTTAAGCTTAGCTGCCGGAAACAACCAGACGAGAGCCATACGTCAAGAGAAACATCTATTAATAAGCTGGTTGGGCACCCGGACCGTTAGTGATGATATACCTGTATTGTCATTCCCTGCTCTTTCGCTACCTACATAGCTGGGCGCTAAGCTGCATATGAGGACCGGCTTTGCGCATTTTACGACCTCCTGATGCCCACAATGATAGGTGCCAGCATTATGAACAGCAGACTGGGGAGCATAGGACTCTGAGGAGATTGTTGCGGCGAACTAAACGGTGAGTCGGTGTGGGTGCAGGCCGCCTTGGGAATCTGGCCATAGCCAGGAAGGCAGCACGAAAGGATTGAAAGCATATTCTTCTCCAACACCGCTCCCAACGCAATCTATCTTACCTTACTTTAATGACATGCTGAATAGTAACGGTCGTAGCTGCCGAAGATAGACAAACGATACAAGGCCGTCGCAAAAAAAAAAAAAAAGCGCCTGAATACGTTCGGCCTTTTTCGGTGGTGAGTGGCGATCGGCTCGGACCGGACTAGGGTTACGCAACAGCGCGTTTCCTCCTCGCCGCTGTCAGATGCAAGCCGGGGACCCCGTCCCCACGGGGCATATTACGGACTATGGCTTATAGCACGGCCGCCCGGCCAACCCCCCCCCCTAAATTAGATCTCCTCCCCCTTGTACCCAGGCACCCAGGCAGGCACCTCCTCCTCGCAGCGGGGTCTTGCTTGGTCTGGGCTGTTCCCACTGGCATGGGGTGGCTTGTGGAAACGCAACCTAAAGCCGAAACTCACGAAACCAACGACATGATTGGTCCCCCGGGCAGAAATCGTCAACGCGTCCCTGAGCATCCTTCTCGGCCTTCAGGGGAGATATTCTGCACGTAATGCGCGCTATTCCCCCAACGCGAACCCAACGCGACCTTCCTAGCGTAATGCGTCAGTCTAGCCACTGACGTCCAATTACTCGGCTTATCTATAGGTAGCTAGCGCGCCCTATAGATGGGGTGAGGCAGGGTTCCAGATTAGCGGGCGGCTTTTAAGACATTGTTGCCCTGAAAGCAAGATGGTCCCCGGCACCTGGGATGCAAGTTGTTGCCCCGAAGGCGGGACGTCGCCTCTGTCAAGATCGGCATTCTCACTGCAACAGCAGAGGAAGCATACAGGAAACTGCTATGCTAGCCTAAGTCAAGGGCAGCAATGAGATAATAGAAGTCCTTCTTTGCCTTGTCATTTGCGCCCATCATAGACCTATAGACCCTTTGCAGGCAGAGATGTGCGTGGCCAATTGTAGTACGTGCTCCTATCGAGTCGTCTTTGTTGTCTGAAGAATCAGATCATACATTCTGCACCTGTCCACAGTATGAATCCTGTTAGCCAGGCCAAGGCTCAAAGAAGGTATGTGCTTTGACAGAGAGCTCAAAAGTCCAATAGGCTTCCTTAGGTATCAGAAGCTAGTAGTGAAACAACATCAGAAAGAAAAGGCTAAGAACAGCCTCAACTACGCCCGGTAATCAGTGTCATAATAGAGACTTTCAACAGAGCTAACCATAAACACTGAAGTCGTCCTATAGCTCTACTAGTAGGGTTAACTACCCGCTGCAACCTCACTAGGTTAGGAGTGAAGGCTGAAGCTTCAATATACACTGGGCTGCAGGAATGTGATCCGCCGCGTCACGTTTAGCTTTCTTATCCCATTGACTACTGCATAACATCGGAACCTCAGATACAATTCCTACTCTTCGCTCAGCATGCTATTCTTGAAAGGGTATGGAGTTGAGGGGAACGACGGAAACAGAATCATATGAAACCATAATTATTTACGACCCCGCATCGAGATCTACTGACGTCATATGGCAGTCGATGGGATAGATTGGAGTTTCAGCTGTAAAAGTAACGCGCAACCGTAACATTCGGAAAACGCATAGGTGTAGTTACCCTTTGCATAGTAGCTAGCTAGGCAACTAACCACCTGGCCCTGATCTGGCAGGACTGTTATTGTGAAGGGGCTAACCTTAACGCGTGTGGTTTTATTCACTTCCCCCTTTTTTTTTTCTTTCCTTTTTTCTTCTTTTTTTTTTTTTTATTTGTTCCCATTTCTCAATCTTCAAATCCTTCTGCCTCACCCTTTAGCCCGCAAACAACTCATACATAGTAGTATTCTCAATGCTTATGCAAAGTGCAGACCGTACAACCTACAAGCGCAAACATCGTCAAGTCCGGCAGTCGTGTAACGCTTGTAGTCTGCAGAAAATACGATGCGGTAAACAGCACCCGATATGCCACCGGTGCGCGAAGAAGGGGCTGTGCTGCCAGTACAGCATGTCTATGCGTACAGGTGAGCGTCAACGACTAGCCGAATTGTACGACATGCCGGGGAGTAGCACAGGAACGTTGTCATCATTCGCAGCTCCTCAGCTAGTGTCACTATCGCTCAGCACGACGGAGGATCCCTCCACCGAAAGCCCGACGAATCGCTCTCAAGCCTCGTTTGACGACGTCAGGAACTGGAGCTGGCTGATTGACACAGCATCTATGTATTTACTGGAGCCTAGCCTGGAGCTTGCAACAAGCGAAGATCCTTCGACTAATAGCATAGTGTTAAGTTCGCCTAGCAATCAGAACACGCCGTCCTCTCCGCAGTATTATCCGAGACAGCCTGATGGGAACTCCGATATCCCATGTGCGGGAGATACTCGACCCACCGAAGATGTAGGCAACAGTATCCAGGACGCCAGCCCACGGCCGCAAGTGAAGGGCGACGCCCTTAATCCCGATAGAACACGCCGTGTATATGACTGCGCCACTGAGGCTCTGAGCCTCTTAGAAAACCTCCACACGTCAGCGAGCGGCTGTCTAACGGTTGTACAACGCCCACCTCATCTCGTCGCTATCGAGGGAGACTGCAAATCCGGGCAGAAAGATATAGGCGATATACTGTCTGAAAACAGAGAGGCACTCGCCAGACTTAACAGCCTACTAGGCTGTCCATGCTCTAGAAGGCAAAACATACTTCTTTTGACGTACCTGGTGATTGCTAAAATCGCGGACTCGTACCGCCTGATCCTCGGGATCAGCGACAGCGCCGAGCCTGCAGCAAAGCATTCCACTATGGAACAGTCACCTAAGATAACTTTGACGACTGTCTCGTGTATCGGCAGCTACCCCTTGGACGATAACAGCCAGAAGA